TCTAACCGGCATGCATCTCGCGCTGATCACCGGTGATCGATTCTGCGCAGAATTTGCTCATCTCAAACAAGCCTATTGTTATGAACTGCGTGCGCGTGCGCAAATGCCTGTAATTTGCGCGTGCGCACATGCTTGGTAACACAAACGTGACGTACAGACGTGACGTACATACGTGACGTGAATACGCGACGTCACCGCGCTACAGTCTGCAGCGAGGGGTATCTCTTCGGTTTAGGGATTTTTTTTCTGTCTCTTTCTGGACACAAGTGTGTCCTATTTGACCACAGCTGCTAAAAAAAAAGAAAAAAAAGAAAAAAAAAGTTTAATGAAACTTCCATTAAGCAATTGTTTTATTGCTTAAATTTTCAAAATAAAAAAATGTTTATAACATGCTAATAAGCTTAAATACATTCAGCTGCAGAAACAAACATAATTTAATTAGATTAAACTTCATTTTTAATAGTACATATACACATTTAAATTAATTTATAATAATATATGTGTATGTGTAAATGTACTGTAATTATAGTGTCAGGATAAGCTGTTACCATAACATTTATATATGTTTTGTCACCCCACAAGCATCGATAGGCTTTTTTCTCCTCTACCAGTGTTAGTAATTAACCGCCTGTGAATGATGCGTGTGTGGTTTTGATTCAGATAAAGGTGTGAAAGCACACTGGGTCAGTCCTGTGGTTGGAAAAATGCTCAAACCACACCTCATGCAAAAGTTTGCATACCAAGGAGATGCACAAAACATCCGTGCACACAAACTAAACCTCTCTTATTAAGTTATTTAATACAGGCAACTCTTTGTAAGTAAATTAGCTGCAGTGTGCACAAACATATTTGGAAAATTACTTAACAGATCATTTTTAAATGAATCTAAAACAATTGGAAAATATTCCATTTTAAATTCAATATATCAATTTTCAACAATTGAAAAAATATATATGAATGCAGTATATACATCATGTATTTATTCAATGTTAACATTCATGTCTAAAATGTTCTCCGCTGATGTTCACCATTGCAGTTCTCTATCTGTACTGAGCAGCTTCTTCCTGTCAGTCACTCTACAGGAAATGATGTACTTCTGACTGGAGCTCTCATTCGAGTCACATGTTCTCACACGGACAAATGCTGACTTTAAGAAGGAGCTTTGTGATATCAATGGCCAATGCCCAAGAAATTACGGTATCAGAGCATTTCAGGGGCATAACTATGTACAAGCTCCAGAAACACCAACACTGTTTTTTAACATTGTAATTTTGTTCGGTCTCGGCCACGTTGGTGCTCTCAAGACATGTTTTATCATCTTTTATCAAATATGTGGCACATATGTTGTTTGAAATTAGATATTGTGGTATTTATTACAGCTTTTAAATGTTTAAAAACACACAATTAAAATAGTCCATACATTTTACGCTCTGTTATGAAGTTATTCTGAAGTCAAGAAATTGAAGAAGAGGTCCAAATTTATGATTACTCAGAAAATCTTTACAGTTTTTCCCATTTCTGTGTTTGCAACGCTAAAGTAAATTACAGCTGATTTCACTTCAAGTATTATTTTCCGTTTGCATTTTCAAAACATAAAAAGTACAGAAAAATCTCTTCTGCGGCAGACAGAAGAGAGAAAGAAAGACCACCTTGTCAGTTGATGTAAGCAATGGCCGCATTGTTTGCCCTTACTGTAAAAAATATTCCTGTAAAAAAAAACAGTAAATTACTGGCAGCCGTGGTTGCAAGCATCATACCGTAAAAATACGGTGTGTTACTGTTTTCTAGCTGACAATACGGTATTTAGTTAATTTCAAAAACAGTAACACACTGTATTTTTACGGTATGATGCTGGCAACCACAGCTGCCAGTATTTTACCGTTTTTTTACAGGATTATTTTTATAGTGCTGTAGCGGCCCTTTAGAGGCAGATTATGTGCCAATACGTGGCTCCCCAGCCGGTGGTAGAGGCACCCGTGGAGACAATATCATGCCTGAACACTTGTTCTAGGGTCACTCGCCCATCTCCGGACTTCAGCACTAGCTTCACGGCCTCATATGAAGCAAGCCGAGCGGCATCACTGCATTTGTGGCTGCAATATGCCACAAGAGCCTCTGAAATAACTTCAGTGGGGCCGCTGTCCTGCTTTTGGACGAATTCAAGCAGTTCAACACTGACCGATCACACCTCACCTCAGTGTGGTTTAAGCCCAGGCAATTGAGGCAACGATCGAGACCACCAGCCAGCGCCAGGTAACGACCGCATCCGTAAACACACGGGGGGATTGACATCTTTAAAAAGGCGCAATGTCACACCCATGTACAACAAATCTCTTTATGAGACCACGACCACCACTGAAGCATCGTCACACCAACACCGACTCGAAGAAACACTCTCTCAATGTAGATTGCAGAGTAGAAACAGCAGAACCGTTCGGCTCCAAAGCGAAATGCCCTATCATGCATATCATGCTGCCCGATTATACCCACACTGAGGGACGGTGTCATTATACACTATATGTGACCCTGGATCACAAAACCAGTCACAAGTAGCATTTGTGGCAACAGCCAACAATACATTGTATGGGTCAAAATTATAGATTTTTCTTTCAAGATCATGTTCCATGACGGTATCTTGTAAATTTCCTACCGTAAATTTATAAAACGCTGATTTTTGTGAGTGAATGCAGCACAATTGCGAATATAAATGGACAACTTTAAAGGCGATTTTCTCAATGTTATGATTTTTTTTTGCACACTCAGATTCCAGACGAGTTGTATCACAGACAAATATTGTCCTATCCTAACAAACCACAAATCAATGGAAAGCTTATTTATCCAGCTTTCATGTGATGTTTAAATCTCAATTTCAAAAAATGTACCCCATGTGACTGGTTTTGTGGTCTAGGGTCACATGTATATAATGTGTATTGACTTGTTTAATTACACTTGAAGTAGATTGGTCTCTCTACTAGCGAGATTCCCGATTCAATCTGACGCGGCGTCAAACGTCACTGACTGAAAAGGAACATTGCAGCACAGTTTAGGTGAGCAAAGTTGCATCTGAACAAACCACTAGACCTCTGGAACAATGTCCTTTGGACAGACAATAGCAGAGTGGAGATGTTTGACCATAATGCAAAGCGCCACGTTTGGCGAAAACCAAACAGCATATCAAACACAAACACCTCATACCAACAGTCAATATGGTGAAAGGGTTAATGATTTGGGCCTGTTTTCCAAAGGAAAGCGTCAGTTAGAGGACGCGGTTAGGTTTAGGTGTGGGGTGGGGGGTAGGGTACACCCGATCCTAGGGCGTCATCTAACTGACGCTAAAGGGCGCCTAAAGCTTCAGATATTGAAGCATGTCCAAATGCTTCCCAAGGCGTCAGTTAAGTGACGCCTTGGGGGTGAGAATGGGCTGGTTTTCCTGCCACAGGACCGGGGTACCTTGCAGTCTTTTTTGAGTCGACCATGATTTACTCTTAATTTAATACCAAAGTATTCTAGAGTGAGTCAAATGTGAGGCCTTCTCTCTGACATCTAAAGCTTGCAACAGGACAATGATCCCAGGAACACCAGCATATCTACAACAGAATGGCTGAAAAAGAAAAGAAGGAGTTGTACTGGCCCAGTTATAATCCAGACCTCGACCCGATTGAAATGGAACCTTCAGCGTTAAGTTCTGCCAGGAAGACTCAATCGTTGAGTCACTATATACCTTCTATCTATCCAATCGTGTCTAATGCTTGCGGTATAAAAGACCGGTACTTACACATGTTTGAGTTCGCAGATGCTGACGCTTTCATTGACCTCCATCCTCCCCACCACCTCCAAGATGGTTCCTTCCCTTCCATTCTCCCCACCACCACCAGGATGGTCCCTTCCTATACCTCCCGGGGGGGGGGGGTCTTCAGGCAGGAAATGCAGAGTCCGGACCCTCGGATTGTGAGCTATGGATGGGGCCTACGCCAAAGAACTTAATTGCTTGATGGGCTATCAATAAATGTATTTATTGTTACAGTATTTATTCTCCCGAGTCTTTCTGGTAGAAATGCTGTGGCCGGACCATAAGAGAGCCGTGCATTAACAGATATCATCAAACCTCAATGATCTGAAGCACCATTGTAAATAAGAGCGGGCCATAATTCCTCCACAACGATGTAAGAGACTGATAAAGTCATATAGAAAATGATTACTTCAAATTATGTCAATGTCACTTTTATTTGTGTATTAAAACAACACATGTTGACCAATGTGCTTTACATTATCTCAATAAAATTATCAAAATAGTACAACAGTAATAAAATGAATAAATAAATAAATAACATAAATTATTATCAAAAGGATGAATAGGCCATGGCAAACAAATATGTCATAAGTTGTACTTTATTATTGCTGCTAAGCTATTGTAGAAGTACCATAGGGTGTACTTAGTTTGTCAAACATGGCTTCTCCATTCTGGCTTTATTTTTGTTTTATGAATAATCAAACAATGTAATGTCATGTGGGCAACAGGGTTATAATGTATATTAGGAGTGAAATTCATTATAGCTTACTCAATGGTGAAACTCAATAAAACAACCACACAGAAGGTGACTGTTGCTGTTGAAAAAGACTGCAGGACATTAGACACTGCACAATTTGTTTGTGCTTTGGGTGAAAGTTTTGCTAGTTTCTTACATGTGGTTTCTTTCTTTCTGTTTGTCACACTTCCGAGGCACTTGTAAGGGGTCTCGTCAATCTTTTGTGTAGGTCATTTTCATTATGCAGATATTGTCTTTCCTGTACATCATGCCCAGCCGGTTTGCAACTTTACATTATGTATGCGTGTAACATAATTAGATGTTTCTTTTTTTACACATGAATACAGTCTTTTCATTTACTGTAATCAAGTAAATCAAAGAGCTTTGTTAATATACATAGATGAAAATATATTAAAGTCAGCCAGTATAGAAAAAAGAAAAGATTTTTCTTTCTACAGGACACTAATGTGATTTTTTTATTTAAGAAAGTCGGTAAGTAAAGATCTGATTTTTTCTTTACCTTAATATACTGTTAAATTTAGGATTATTTATTTTCTGTTTGATTTTCTGAAACCGTCCTGCATTAAAACGCTGTGAAATAATGTAAAATTTTGATCCTCCCCCAAGTATTATGAGAAAAACTAGAATTGTGTAATTATTTTTGTAATATTTATTTATTGTAATTATTATTTATAATAATGCATTATTATTATTTATAATTATTATTTATTTTAATATTTTTGTCCCTCTAGATGATTAAACCTGTTTGGAGTTACTGTGACAAAATGTATCAGCATTTTTGTATTCTACTTCTTTTCCTTTCAAAGTGTAAGTTACTAAATTCTGTTCATTTTGACCACTTAGACTGGAAATAGCTAATGAATACCTCTTTTTTCATTGTACATCATGAAGAAACCAAATCTACAGCAGGCACAACTAACCGTCCTCTTACTCATTGTTTAGGCAGCTCAGATAACACAGACGTCGTGGCTCAGAATCATCTGAAGATTGTTCAAGCTGGAGACAGTGTTAACTTCACCTGTATTTTTTCAGGAGAGTCAAGACACAGTGTTGTTTGGGTCAAACAAAGAGTCGGAGAGAAACCCCTTCCAATTGTTTCATCATATCAAGGTTTACCTGCCGACTTTGAAAAGGGCTTTGACAATACACGCTTTTATGTATCAAATGAAAAGAGCAGTTTTAATCTGAGCATCACAAATACAGAAGAATCAGACACTGGAACATACTATTGTGTTAAATATTTATATAATAGATTTTCTTTTGGTGAAGGCACTGATCTCATTGTTAAAAGTAAGCTGAATATTCACTTCAATCTGACTGAGATACATACAGCACATTGTGTCAAACAAGCATTATGTTACTGTTGTTTCTTTTCAGATGGACAGCTGAGCGTGGACTCAGAGCATCAGAGAGCCGAGACAGACCCAGATCATCCAGAAGAGTCTGCAGCGGCTCTGCAGTGTGCCGTCGTCACTCAGAGCTGTGCAGGAGAACACAACGTCTACTGGTTCAGACATCAATCTGGAGAATCTCCTCCAGGAATCATTTACACTCAGGACCGCAGGAACGCTCAGTGTGAGAGGAGATCTGATGGGAACTCAACCACACACAAATGTGTCTACAACCTGCCCAAGAAGAAGCTCAGTCACTCTGATGCTGGGATTTATTACTGCGCTGTGGCCGCATGTGGACAGATACTGTTTGGAGAAGGAAGAACAGTTGATTCACCAAGGCCAGGTACACTAAATTTGCTACAAAAAAAATACATTAAAAAAATGTTGTGGGCTCATGGTGTTGTTGCGTCACTAATATCTTTTTAAAATAAATTATTTTTCATTTCTGCAGATACAGCATGGAGTACAATTGCCCTATTTTTAGCAGCTTCAAATAGTTTATCAGTGATTGTGATCATAATTCTGTGCTCACAGATGTGCAAACACCAGCAGAAAGGTAAGATTTATATGCTTTATTTCACTCTAGTATTCAAAGCAATGTCTGTTTCAGTGCAGATGTAACATAAACGTTCTTATTGTTTACTCAAGACGGGATCCCATATATTGTGCTTGATAAATCAATGGTAAGACTTTTCCTTTTGCTTTATCTTCACTTAATTTGATTGCTTTCAGACTCTGCTTTGTTGCTTACATTATGCCAAATACATATTTATTAAATTCTAAATATTTATTAGCGAAATATTTGAATCTATGTATTATTATAACTGTGGTTCGATCTGTTTCAGGCTGATGACACCAGCACTACAGTCAAATATACAATGTATCACAAACGTATTTACCTTCAGAAGGCTTCAGGAATAAAACTGGCAGAACACAAGTTTGACTTTCACCTCATCTATCATGCATTTAGCAGTTATTTGAAAGAAGTCCATTTATAACAAACTTATAACATTCATCACATCAAATGATTACAACACATGCCTTAGTTTGTATATATATATATATATATATATATATATAAACTAGGACATGAACTTACAATAATACAGTGTGTACAATGAATGGAAATTAACTAACTGCTGTTGATATGAGCTTAAATTGTACTGTGTGAAACCTGATATGTTTCTATTACATCTTTTCTCCTGTAACAACTAAAACAGTGTGAAATATGTGTTATATCTTCCATTGATTATGATTATACTGCACATTAGATATAAATATTAATGGTTAAAATTTTGGTTTTATGCTTAGAAATACAATTTTCTTGCTTTTTTGTTTCATACTGAATTTGTGATTTTTTTATTATTTTTTATAATAAAAAGTTATAATTCAATTCTAAAGTGTTTAATTTGTCCTTTTGGCTGCGTGAGGCACGTTCACGGAGACGAAGAAGACGGAGAACAATCACATTTTTTATTTTTCGAAAAATTTATTATTTATGAACAATAATATATGTCTGCATGAACAATAAAAAAAAATATTTATGTGGGCGGCAGAGGTTCATGTAGATTGTCTAAAAACCGAAAGGTTGGTGGTTCAATCCCTGGTTCCACCTGACCAAGTGCAACACATTCTCACCCCAAGGCGTCACCTTTGACCATGCTTCAATATTTGACGCTTTAGGCGCCCTTTAGCGTCAGTTAGATGACGCGATCCTACGGCGTTATCTAACTGACGCTAAAGGAAAGCATCAGCTAGATGACGTGGTTAGGTTTAGGTCTGGGGTAGGGGTAGGGTTACATGCGATCCTAGGGCGTCATCTAACTGATGCTAAAGGGCGCCTAAAGCGTCAAATATTGAAGCATGGTCAAAATGCTTCCCATATGGCGTCATTTAGGTGACGCTTTGGGGGTGTGTTGTATTGTCCATGAGCAAGACACCTAACCCCAGCTGCTCCCGACGAGCTGGATGGCGCCTTGAATGGCTGACACCGCCATCGGTGTGTGAATGAGTGAGTGAATGTGAGGCAAATGTAAAGCGCTTTGGTGGCCATTGGGTCTGTGAAAGCGCTATATAAACGCAGTCCATTTACCATCCATGCAGTCCATGAACAAGTAACACAGTCTCATCCCAAAAAGTCATATAACTGACGTCTTGGGACATCTTTTGACCATACGTCAATATCCAATAGGTTTTTTTTTGCCTAAAAGCAGAGGCTCAGATCTTTATTTTTATATATATCATCTTCATATATTCATGGAACAAAATATTCAGCGGGGCATTAAAATTTAGCGAAAATCGTCAAAAACCCTGGCGGTGGCTGGCAACTTTTTTTTAAAACGCTGGCAGGGAAAGAGTTAAGGGGGCCCTAAAAGGCGAATATTGACGTATGGTCAAAAGACGTCCCAAAACGTCAGTTATATGACGTCTTGGGATGAGACCGGGTTGGAACAAGACATGTATTAACGATAGCAAGCAATCAAGACGTAGAACCGACCAGGAAGAACTAGACTTGCGATACATATGCATAGACAAACTATATTAATTTGTCTACTGTATGTATGTTCATAAAAAAAATGAACATTGTCTTCCTTAAAAATTAACCCATCTTAACGTGAGTTAATCCCTATTCTTGAACCCATCGTCTACTGAACTTAAATTCACAAAAAAATAACATTTAAACTAAATAATTAAAATCACAATAACAGGCTAAAATGACTGACAATGTAATATAATGTTTAAGAATATATTTTTAAGATTATATATTTTTATATCATCATGTTGTCATAACTAAAACTACTGTAACTTTGTTTAAAACCGTCAACTTTTCTAAGATGTTTTTTCTCTACCAATGGAAACAACTTGCAGTGGTTGACTGTTTGAATGTTGTATCTGTGGTTTCTATTCAAAGCGTGCTGTCACAAAACAGACAGAGGTCAGTCTTGTGGGTAAGAAACTGCTTACCATCAAGGTGGGACTGTTTTATCCGTCACGCATACATGTGCATGCAAACAGATCCATAGTTCAAAGCTTGTGTGCGTGTGTGTGTGTGTGTGTGTGTGTGTGTGTTTGTCCCTCTCATGCAACAGGAAGTGATGCAGCTCATCTCTGACAGCTTGAGTCACATCCTCTCCTTATATGGACAGAGTCTGAGTCTGCGGCAAGTTTTGAAAGTGGTGTAAACAAGGCCCAAAATGATCATGTGGTTTTGTGAATGAAATTCAAATAGTGAGTTTTATAGTGGGCAAAAGAATGCATTATTATACGAAGTGCTTTTATGTCCTTGATCTGGTGTGTGGGTTGTGTGTATAGTCTTTTGATGGCTTGTGGTTAGAAATAAGCTGAAATGTCCACTTTACATCAGATAACAAAGACTTATTATGGAAACATTAACTTTTGTAACATAATTTAAATGTAAGCAATATCTGAACATGACATTTATTTAAGGCTCTTTAAATGAACCAGTGTACAATAGGAGTATCTTTTTTTTAATTGCATATAGCATTGTAAAACATTAAATATCCATTTCATAGCTATCCTGGTTCAATGCTTTGAAAGATGTGTTGGATGATGTTCACTTTGCACGTGTGTTGAAATTCTGTTTGTGCAGAAACTTTGTGTCACCCTGCGTCAATTTGAAATATTAAAAAGATTTGTGTTGTATTGTTATTCATGTTATATTGCAGTGCAAACTTAGTCATTTTGTCTCTGTCCTTGGTGCTGAAATTACCAAATCCGTGTCCCACACTTCTGACTTTAATGATTTTAACCTTTAACTGACTTCTCAACCAAACGGTTGAGCACATTTGAGTCATTTTATTGAGAGAAGTAGCTAACTCAACTCAAACTGAATTGAGCCATCTCTATCATCTAGTTGAGGTATATTATGCCCCCAAAAATCCACTAGATTCACAGTGTCAATCAACAGCACTTGTCACAACATTTCTTCTAAATGGATGTCAGAAACAAATAAATCACCCCAGCCATGTGAACCGTTTTTGGTAAATTTTGCAACCTAAGCATAATTTTTTTTACATATTACACTGTAAGAGCCTTAACTTTATAAATGATGTTACTTGGTGTTATGATAAAACTTTAGTGTATATTTTAATAATTTTTCAAAAACATGCTCAACCAAACGGTTGATTGGCAGATACTGTCACCCCCCTTTTGAGAAAGGACATTACAATGCACTATTAAAGACTGGTTGTAATTCAAGTATGCTTTGGAAAAATACCTAAGTTTAGTCTTGTTTTAAGGAAAACACTGCAGATTATTGCTGAAGTAAAAGCACTTAAAAAAAATAAAAGTATGAAAAAGTTATGAAAGTTTTAAAATTACATTAAAGTACTAAATATTTTTCTTTTATAAAAATATATATTTTACAAAATATTTTTTCCTATAAATTACTATAAAATCAAAGTCATATATCTAACCAAGTTGTGTCCAAATTTGAAGTTGATATCACAAAATTGAAGTTCTCATGAGATTTTGTTTAGCGTAATACCAAAAATGGCATCAATTCCATTGGATTTAATTGTATCTGCTGTAACAAATTAATGGATTTCTGTCCAAATATCACTTCTGTTACAAAATATGGAACCTTGAGACTCAGACCTTTCTGATAATGTGTTTGTCAAGACTAGAAAAGGTTTTGATCATAAATTATGATGGGCAATGAAAAAGTATGGCAAAGTGTGTGTATGAATTCCATGTACCATTTCTATTATTAAGTGACATCTCAACCAATTGGTAGAGGCCGATATTTAAAAAATTAAGGGATGTATTGAAAAAAAACATTGAGTGTGGTTACTAGCGGCATAAGAAAATAAGAAATGCAAACAAAAAAATTTCCATCACTTTTTTCTTGCTGCGGCTTAAAAGGGTTTTAGGCCTGAACAAATGGACACATCACTGGTTGCCACTGTCTCTGAAATGTATGAGGAATAGGAAACATTTATTTCAATAATAATTTTCAAATTAACAAAAATGTGTCTACTGCTACCTCACCCACAAAATAGCCACTGCATAAGGCCATTTTTTTCTGTGAAGAGACTCATTTCCTGTTTATAACTCCAGCATAGCATCCAGTTGATTGGCTGCTGTCACAGAAGTGGTGTTCGCCAACTTCAAAACCTTTTCAAATGACCAATCAGATCTTACAGCCGTGTGAATAAATAAGACAGAAGTGCATATGCATCTCATTTTGAAGGACAGGTTGAGGACACATGGTATATAGACAGTCTACTAATCTATAATTGAATTGGTGTGAAAGGATTGTTTTGGGCTTATTCGTGTTTTGTTTTTGTTGATTTTTTACCAAGGGGAATTTAAAATATGAGGATAATTTTGGAAGACCAGTGATCATGAGATATTATTTAATCATTTTGTTCTTCTCAGTAATAGGTAAATATACTTGAAATCTTTCCTATTCAACAAAATGTATCTATTTATCAAAACTCAATTTTAAGTTCTGATTTATTCAGTTAAATGTAAATTTAGTCAATTAAATGTACCTGCTTGATTTTGCAGTCTGCTCCTCTGATGAGTCCTCTAATGTGGATCTTGTTCAGGAAGATGTAAAAGTAGTTCGAGCTGGAGAATCTGTGAATCTTACTTGCAGCTTTTCAACGCTTCTGCAATCAACAAGAGCATGGTTTAAACGGGCATCCAATGGAAAATCCATACAAATTGTGTCTTTATATTTAAATCAACAACCCAGCTGGAATAAGGACTTTGAGAAAATGAATCGTTTTTATATTACCAAAGGAGATGATCATTTTAATCTGACCATTTTACAGACAAAGCCTTCAGACTCTGCAACATATTACTGTGTCGTCTCATCATATTACACTATTGGAATGGGTGCAGGCACTAGATTATTTTTTAAAGGTAAGTTTTACTGCTTGTTGTTTAGTTCTGTTTGATTTATGTCATTTTTTGCTTACTATTTCGATTCCTTCTGTCACTTTTCAGGTGGACACACAACTGTTCAGCAGTCTTTGATAGACACGCTTCATCCAGGGGATTCAGTGAATTTGCAGTGCAGCGTCTTCAGTGAGAGTTGTGCTGGAGAACACAGCGTCTACTGGTTCAGACAAAGCTTGGGAGACTCTCAAGGAGTCCTTTACACCAAAGGAGAGAGAAATGGTCAGTGTCAGAACAGCAGTGAGTCTCAAACACAGAGCTGCGTCTACAATCTCCTCAAGAGCAACATCAGTGACTCTGATTCTGGGATTTACTACTGCGCTGTGGCCGCATGTGGAGAGATACTGTTCGGAGAAGGAACTCAACTCAATTTAGAGGTAAGGTTTTGGGAGAAATATTTAATTTTGCCTCTAAGGACGAGCATTTAAATCATTTATTGGGGGAAATAATACCAATGCACTGATCTGTTATCAGTAATATGAATTATGTATTTTCAGAGAGTGTGTGACTGTGAATACAACCCTGCTTGTTCTTGGGATTTCAAACATCGTATTTTTATCTTTAGTTGTTTTTCTTGCCATAAAACTATGCCAGAATCAGAAAGGTAAGGTTTCTTTTTAGCACACACTGATAACACATATAAAGTATTTATATTAACATGTTTATGAAAATACGACAATTGCCTCTACAGAAATATTATCCTTGATTGCCTTTTTAATTCAATGTTTTTCTTATTCACCCACAATCCAAAAACCTCAAGAGAGTCAAGTAAGTTTCTAGTTTTAATTTTGAGATTCAAATCACATATTTATTGATTAGAATCATACAATAAGTCTTATCATAAGCACATGATTATAATAGTGGGTTTCCATAAAAGACTTGACTTTTATCCTTATTTTATAATGTCTTTGACGTTTGTTTCTTTTTTCTGCATTATTTTAGGGTGAAGACATTTTGGGTTATGCGGCTCACAATTCTTTCATAGCGAATGGACTCAAAGTAAAGATTACTGAAGAACACTCTGTTGTGACATACGGCATGTGTAGAGAAAGAATACCTTTAAACACACAACAGAAGTAACAGTTTCCCATTCAAGCTAGATTATGAGGTAAAACATGTTTTACTGTATATTTTCAGAACTGCTTTGTAACAGCGTATATTCATACCAGATTTGCAACAGTTAATCTCACATCACAAGTCTTTTTCATATTGTTCTGTATTTTCATTACCTTTTTATCATGTTATTTGAGCTTTACATAGTTGGTTGCATGTACATATGTCAATTTATATAGAACAGAAAGATCTTTTTGTCTGAATATTAACTTAAACTGTAGTTAAATAATATTGTTTTTGATACTTGAAAGTATCGAAAGAAATGTCTCAAAGAACATGCCACGAATTCATTGTTTGTAGTGCAAATGTAAAACATATTTTTTTAGCTTACAACATAATTTTTCATAAATGGTGTTATGTGTAAAATTATACGTGTTCTGTGATATCTAGATATGGCTTTATGTTTCCCAAAACATGTAACAATGTAATATAAGCGTGGCTTCACGTTTCTATGTGCAAGTAAATAACTAAATCAAAGTCTGCTTTCTCCATTATTGTTACTGTATTTTGCTGTATGTCTCTTATGTGAAAACGTGACACATGTATCCAACAGGTTACACCTTTAGCAAAAATGCAAATTAATTTAAACCTCCTCGAACACATTTAACTAAAACACAAACTGACATTAAAACTACTTGTGTGTTCTCTATTGATTGTATAACATATTTGGTTTATTTTTTATTGACTTCATGCAAGAGTAATAACATGTTTTTGAAATGCGAAAAATGTACAGAAACTCAAAAAAACATTAATGTAGACAACTAAAGTGAAGTTATATTCTCTATATAAATCATTATGCCTTATTATGTCTTTTGAAAATGGAAAAATGCTGCAAGTTTTCTGTGATGGGTTTACGTTTAGGGCCAAGAAAGTGTCAATAGCTCTCAGTATAAAAATCATTATGTCTATGGAGTGTCTCTTTGTCAAACTTCAAATATAAGTCAAATCTCCACGAAAATAAAGGCCTGCGGAGATATTGAAGCACATCCATGGCGTGTGTGGATTCGAAATACATGCTGTTTTTTATAGTGGGAAATTCTCACAGCCAGCAAAGCCTGCTGACGTAACAGGTGCCCAAAAAACTTATTTTCATTCTCATTTATTTCTATCTACAGTATTTCTTCACTTACTCCTGATATTGTGCAAACTTCATCAGTGTATATACAAGTAATCCCGATAAGTTCATCAATCTATTTTACCTGGTGTAGTCTTTCGGATATGTCTTTGCACAACTCAACTTTATGTATGTAATTAAAATAAACAGTATGAGAGGTGTTCTGTTTTGTATTTCCGGATTCATGTTCTTCCGGAAAAAAATGCTTCACACTCGATGTTATCTCCCATTGCAAATGCACAGGTCGGGTCTAATAGAAACAAAGTCCCTAGGATGACTCTGGGTCATCATCTATTTAACCCATGACTTCCTGCAGACTGTCCCTATAAATTTATCATGTGCACATACTGCAGGTCATAGAATATTATTAATAAAAATAAAACACATTTGAAATCCGTTCTTCACAGCTGAGGACTTTCTATGGTGGAAGGACTTTTAGGCGAGTCACTACCACCACCAACAGGTAAGTGTAAAAATACTGAAGCAAGGGCCTCTGCTGGCTAGAGAAGTAAGAACAAGAGCAAAGCTTTGCCTCCGCGAGCCTGCTAGACAACTTTACAGTTGATAGTGCAACTGTTTTACTGTAGCTTTTGTAAGCTCTCACTTTGGAACAGCTGTTCATCGTCCATTAAGAAAATTAACCATGGTTTTGTGATCGATTACTGTTTGTATTACCATATAGTTTCCAAAAAATATTATGATTAATAGTATATAACATCATATCAAAAATGTATAAGAAAATTGCTAAAATAAAAAAAAAAAAAACAGTGCCATGCTGAAACGCCCTATGAAATCTGTGCTTGTAAAGTCTGTGCAAGAAATCTGTTCAGGGCGATCCTGTTGTTTGTTAACATTCTTAAGTCTGAATCAGGCTTGAATTGGTTTGAAATTGAAGCCAGCCTCAATATTTAAATCTGAGTAGAGCTCGCTGTTATGGTAAGAGGCATGACTTTCCACAAACAGCTAAGCGTGCCAGACACTGGGCGAGCTAACCAATCACGGCACATTTCATAATTCGGAAGGAGGGGCTTCATCAAATCAGGGACTAAATGTCCAACCCGATCTCACAGGAATTCGTATGAATTTTACGAGGTGGCTAATTCATAACAATTCATATGACCTCACTCGTACAAATTGGTACGATTTTGCTAATTCGTACATATTTTACGAATTGGCCAATTCATATGAATTCGTACGAATGACCTACCCTGACCCCGCCCCTAAACCTAAACATCACGTGGGTTTAGACAAATCGGATGAAATTCGTACGAGTGAGGTCGTACGAATTAGTACGAATAAGCCATTTTTTAATCACTCGTACGAATTCGTACGAATTGGTCGTGAGATAGGGTAAATGTCGCGTACAAGCCAGACTGAGGAGAGAAGTGCTGTAATACTGTAAAAATATGTTACAAATAATGTGTTTTTGAACAATCAAGCATGAAAGCATATTCTACACATCCCAAAACAAGGCTTCGTAAAAAAGGGCATAATAACTTTAAACTTGATCATGCCTGCTATAGATTCAAAACATAAAATCAATTGAATAATTTCAATGTAATTTTAAATTATATTAATTAATTGAATGAAATGTAAATATCTTGGTTGTCATCATTGGTAGGCCTAGTAAAACCTTGAGTTTTATATGAGGCCCTTAAAAGGATTGTTTTTTTGGTTACATGCTTCTTTGACGGCTTATTTCCGGCTTTTTTCTGTGTCAAACCACAAAATGCATATTTAGTAACAATAAAATAAAAAAAACGTATTAACCAGAGTTTTCAGAGAGGCCAACTTCAGTTGCTAAAAACTGTATATTGTATTTATAAAACATTTCCTAATACATGAAAGAGGGTTTTCGGAGCAACGGAAAGGAAAAATGGTTGAGTTAAAAAAAGAAATTCCCATTTTGATGTGGCGACAGTGTGTGAAAGCAGAAAAGTTACGGTGAAAGTGCACATGTGCCTCAGTTGACTGAAAGCAGAGATGGACACATGATAAGGACACAGTCTAGTGATCTACCTTATTCTTTAGCGTGTGTGATGGTGAGGCTCATTCATTTGCTTTTTCAGGGGAATTCAACGCCTGAGGATATATTTGGAAGTCGACTGATCATGAGATTTTACTTCATTCTTCTGCTTTCCTCAACAATATGTAAATATACCTAAATATATACCTATAACCACTCTCCTATTTAACACTTTATAACACATTCAACTCTAAAGTATCTAATGTGTGCTCATTTTGCATTCTTGCACTTCTGAATTGGACGTTGTTCAGCAAGATTTAAAAATAGCTTCAGTCTGGAGAAGATGTGAACTTAACCTG